CGCGTACTTTTCGAAGATGACCTCACCGCGATCCAACGACTTGGCGAATGCCTTTTCTTCCTCGTCCAGAATCTCCATGATGTCTTGTTGCTTCTTCTTGATCTCGGGGAACATGTCGCCCATCTGTTCAACCAGCGTAGGTACAATCTTAGAGAAGAAGTCGCCGATTTCCGTCTCGAAGTACTTGCGCGCGTATCGTGCACCTCTCCGAAGCACTCGGCGAACGACGTATCCCCGACCGACGTTGTTTGGTACACCACCGTCGGCAATGGCAAAGCTCATCATGCGAACGTGGTCCGCGACGACGCGGTATGCAGTGTCGATACCATCTGGATCCTGGTCTCCAAAGTTGCCCCTGTATTCCCGCGCTCCAGTAATCTCCTGTATCCTCTTGAACAGTGGTGTGAAGACGTCGGTGTCGTAGTTGGACTTCTTGTGCTGCAGCACTGAGACCAATCGCTCGTATCCCATGCCGGTATCGATGTGCTTGTTCGGTAACGGTCGTAGTGATCGGTCGGGCTCGCGGTTGTACTGCATGAAGACGTTGTTCCAGATCTCGATGACCTCGGGGTCGTCCATGTTGACGAGCGACGCAGCGTTCCTGTACTCCCCGTTGGCTGGCTCCCTCAAATCGTAGTGTACCTCGGAGCAAGGTCCACATGGGCCCTGGTCACCCATCTCCCAGAAGTTGTCCTTCATGTCACCAGGCAGGATGTGGTCTTCCGGTACGCCCACGCTCTTCCACAGCTCCTTGGCTTCCAGATCCGGCTCCAGCTCACCTGGCACGCCCTCAAAGTATGTGACGTATAATCTCTTGGGATCTATGCCGTACACCTTTGTGAGCAGCTCCCAGGTGAAGCCTACCGCCTCCGTCTTGAAGTAGTCGCCGAAACTCCAGTTGCCCAGCATCTCGAAGAAGGTGTGGTGGTAACTGTCCTTGCCCACATCGTCGAGGTCATTGTGCTTTCCACCGGCGCGGATGCACTTTTGCGAGTTGGCGGCGCGCTTGAGCTGTGCGAAGTCGGACGAGGGGTCGACGGTGCCTTGGAAGATGGCCTTGTACTGGTTCATGCCCGCATTGGTGAAGAGGAGGGTGGGGTCGGAGAGGGGCACGACGGATGAGGAAGGCACTGTTTGCTGTCAATTGACTCTCTTGAACATGTTGGACTCATAGCATCAAGAGATGTCGACTCTCGAACACTGAGACGGAAACGCACCAAACGTGTGTCCGCGCTCCTTGAAGTAATCCAGGAAAGTCTGGCGCACGCGGACGGCGCCCCATTCGTGCTTCTCTTCAACGAGCGACATGTTTGCGGCCGGCGCGGTGCCGTGGGGGAGGGGCAGCGAGAGAAGGCGAGTGCAGGTGAAGAGTCTCGTGCAGCGTCTAGACAGGACGAGCCGAGGCGAATGCGAACGAGGAAGGTGGGAGTGACGGGTCGCAAGCAAAGGCAGGCGTCTAACCGTATGGTGACTCAGAGGGGCAGCTCGCGTTGGTAGCAGCATTCACGAAAACATGTGGGCAGGGTGCGGGCGCCGAGAGCTGCAGCAAGCAAACTGCGGGGCTGTCCTGTCGAACGCGGGCCCAGGAGCTTCGGAGGACCGACATGGCGCGCCTCAGCCCTTCTGGAAGCTTCACGTAAGTGCGCCTAGACGACCACGCTCCCAGTATAACAACCGCCATGTCCCGATCCCAACACCAGCCCTATCGCTAATCCATCACACCACCCCTACCAATCGGCTGTCTGCGGGAGTACTTGTAGCACGATTTCCTGCCAAAGCTGCGATGCATGGCGCAAGTCGCTAGCTCCCCTCGTCCCTTCGCGCAACAACAGAATGCGCCCCATGGCACCAAGAGAGCCGCTGACAGCTCGCTCGAGAATGAACAGCGGCTGAGTAAGCGCTTTGACCTGCTGAATCTAGGTATGCTCACCCCATTACACTCTACGCATCGAACCCCCCTTCTGACAACAGCACAGTAGACAACAATGGCACCCGCCTCTACATCCCCGTCCCAGGCTCAACCGACGCCCCCCTCCCCCGGCATTCCCAAGGCGCAACCTCCTACGGCGACCCTCTAGCTTTCGTCTCACCACGTCGCCAACAACCCCGCAAGCCACGCCACGTCCGCGCCAGCCCCTCCCAAGAAGCATGCGGCATGGAAGTAGAAGACACGCCCCACCGCGTCTACATCTCGGACCTAAGCGCCGAACTCTCCGACCTAGAATCCGACGAGGAAACGCCCATCTTCCTCTCCGACATCGAGAAGCACCTCTCCAAAATCCCTCAGCACATCTTACAGGGCCCAGAGCCCAAGCCCACGGATAAGAACCAGTTGGTGCTGTATAATGTGCCGAGCAGTTTGACGGTGCCCGAGGCGCAGGATAATGTGCGCAAGGCGATTGTAGAGGCGCGGCAGAGGATTAGGGATAAGCAGGTTAATCCCGTGACGGAGCCTGTGGATGTGGATCTCGGGAGGGATAGTAGTGTGGTTGGAGGACCGAGGATTATGGATGCGATACCCCAAGCTATGGCGTCACCTGTAGAGGGAGACGGAGACGCCATGGACATTGACTGAGTGGATGATTCTTTGAGTGAATGGTATTATTTGTTGTTGGTCATGAAATTATTATGGATAGTTTGTAACGCTTGTTATACATCAAATGCAATCAACGTGATCCAGTCACGATCTTGTATATCCGCCTTTTGTAGCTGTTTTGTATGTGCATCCTATCTACCGTCTGAATCTATCCAAAACACCCATGATCTTGGCCTTTGCTGGCCGGGGTGGTAGTTCTTGTGATTGTCCTTGCTCGACATCGGAACCGACAACGCCGCTCTGTTGAGGTCCGGCTTGTTGAGGTACTCCTTGTGGTGGGGCACCGTATACTGGCATCTCCATACCCTGAGCTCCTTGGTTCGGGTTCATCTTGGTGGCGCCGGGAGGAGGGGGCGCAAAGTATTGGGGCGGTGCATCAGTGTTCTGGTATAGCGGCGGGGGTTCTGCCCATGTGCCGTCCTGTCTTTGTGTGTATTGCGGGTTGGGTGCGTTAGGTGCGTAGGGGTTTTGCGTTTGGTAGAAGGTAAAGTGGTTCTGGGGGACCTGACCATGACGGCGGCGTTCAGAGTAGGATATGAGGAACTGTTGTGACCGTTAGTATATGAAGGGTTGCGTGTGTTGGAGAAGAGGGGTAACGTACGCGATGGTATGAGAGCAACGGTAGGCCCTTCCTCAGACGTTGCTTTGCGTGGATGCGGCCTCCTACAAACCAACCGAAGAATATGAGAAAGAAAGCTGCGAGGATAATCCATTTGACGATTATGCCTTTCTGTTGTCTTGTTAGTTCGAAGTCCTGTGAAGACCACTAGGTGATGAGCCAAACATACGTCTGAGTACCAAAAGCCATTGTCGTCAAAGCCACACTCCCTCGATCCATCATCAAATTCGACGCAGTATCTCTTTGTTAATGAAATCATAACTGCAATGTGTGTGTATTCTCAGCAGAGATAGTGGTGCGAGTCGTGGATGTCTACGTTGGATCGCAGAGGGGAAGATCGACTGGTATAAGCCCAGTATGTGCCGCAATCCAGGGAGGATGATATGGCCGATATGAGCGGTTAATGGGACAGCTGCGCCACTGCTACGTCGTTCTGTCCTTCGGTCGGTTAGGCTCCCGAGAGGGAGGTGTGTCGCGTGTGGAGTGGGTTGGCAACGGGTATTGTTTCAGATGTGTGAGGCGTGGGTGTGTTGGGTTTCAAGATGGGATGGATGCGCGGGCGGCTGTTGAGTGGCTGACCTTCGATAGTAAATAACTAAGGAAGTGGCTTGAGGAGAAGGAAATGGAAACTTATGGAAACGACGATGAATTGAATGAGTGACAAAAAGAATAACCAAAAAAAGAAGTGACGAAGATTGTGGCTGGGGCAACTGAAGCCTCGAGGTTGGGGAGGTCGGGGGAGCTCTGGTCTGCAAGGGACGCGTGGAAAGGAGTGGAGCGCGTCCCGTGCCCTGCAGGGCTGAAAGCTTGTTCCTTGCCCGCCTGGCCGGATGTGGCGGACTTCACTCCGCATCTTCGTCTGTCGAAATGTGGCTGTGGCATTAATTGCGTTGGAAAATGCGCGTGAGCCATGATGCAACAGTCGGTGAGGTTCGATTCTTTATATTGAAACATACACTTCCTTGTGTTACGTGTCGAGTAGCGCGTGTTCCCGCTAGACAGCAATGATCCGCCGCTGTTGCCGCCGTAGCAAGATACTTTCTTTTTTCACACATCACATTGTAAAGTACTGTTGGGATACAGACTGAGTTACGCGGAGAACCTCGCAGCACTGACGCGCGCACAATGGACATGTCATAATGATAGGTTGGATCAAATTCAGTGCCGTTGGGATGCCGGCTTCCCTAACCTGAAGCAAAAAAGAAACAAAACACAGAGTAAACGTTGTGGTATAATGCCACCAAACGCCTGATTAACATGCCCAATGAAGACCTCACTATCGCACTCTATACTTCCGCCATTCCACTGTAGACTCCAGAGGTCCCCGCATGTTTCGCAATGCTACGTCACCGGGAGGGATATTCCTGTATCGGACGCTGAACATAGAAAACGCCCAAAGGCTTCAACTCCGGCCCCATGCTTGAAGATTGAATGAAACCGAGTATACAGATAGAAAGGATAACCAGCGAAAGGAAAGTCTAATGTAACAAGTTGCGAAGAGATGGACTGGCGCTAGCCCCCGTGTTGACGCGCTCAGTGGGCGCTGACGTGACTGTTGGTGCCTCCCGCATCACTGTATCCATGGGTGTTGCCGGTCTGCCAGGTGCAGGGCTTCCGTGGTGGAGCACAGGGTATTGTGCTACTGGAGGAGGAGCAGTGAATGGGCTTTCACGCGACGCAGGATGTGCGTGAGGATGGGTTGGAGAATAGGGCATTGTCCGTGGTGATTGCATAGCCCCGTTGACCATCATCGCGCCGTTGTTGTGGTGTAACTGGGGAGGTCCACTAATGGGAGGTCCAGAGTACGGTGGCCGAAGCCCTGCCGCTGCTATCGCCGAGTGCATCGGTGCACCTGAAAAGGCTGCATACCCATTCGGCTGAGGCGGGTATGGCGCGTGGAATGCAGGAATATGGCCAACAGGTGGAGCTTGTAGTGGTGGTGGCCCGTAACCGTTTCCGTTGGGCATGTGGTGTGGGGGATGCCCAGGCCCTGGAGGAACACCGCTATGCCATGAGGGCAACGGCGGAGGCTGACCTGGTATCGGTCCGCCTTGTAGCGCCCAACCTCCTGCCAAAGCTGGTGGTGGTGGTGGATATGGTGGAATTTGAGTCGCGGGCAGTGGATACGTTTGTGGTGGCTCTTTGAAGATCGAAACTGATCTCGCTCGCTCTTCCTCCTCATCATCTTTGCCATTTTGTTTCTTCCAATGACACTTCTGGCACATGTATGAAGCTGAAGGAGCCGCGTCCACATCAGTGTTGAGCCTCAAGGTTTTGTGCGCTGGTGAAGCAACAGCTGGCGCATCGGTCATTGGCTGATCGCCTTGGCCATTGCCGTTGACGATCTGGCCTTCCTCGACGACGGGCTTCTTCTCGATGTGGCCGTTCATATCTGCAGTACCGTCACGGTCGATTGGTCCGTCTACTATACGAGGCGCTTGCGTTGCTACCGTTTCCTCGTCAAGTTTCCACCATCGTGGGCTAGATTCGATCTTGCAGCGCACGCATTCACGCTCAGGCTTGGGCGCCGCTGGCTCGCTTGACTCTTCCTTGACTGATATACCAGCGTTGGACTGTCGACCTCGGGCTGACGTGGGTGTGGGCGCTGCGACTGCAGATGCTCGACGGTTGGCCGGCGCAGGCACGATTTGGGGTACGATGCGTGTCGATTGGTCCACCAAATTGGCTTTGCGCGCGGTACCGGTCAGGGTGAGGTCAGCCTGCTTGAACTCCCGCGCGAACAGCTGAAGCGCAATCAGGTCTGTTCCATCTACGGGTTCATTCATTGGGTGGACAACAGTCTTGGGAGCGTGGTCTTTACACCAGATCGCGGCGATCAGAGTACCCGTCTCTCCGTTCATAGTCACCGTAGGTACAGCATCTCTGCGAGAGACCTTGACTGGGGTCATGTCGAATCCGAATGTATATCCGTTGCTGTGCGCGCAGCCAACATGGAAAGTCGCGTGGCACTGCAGGCACGATGTGCATGCGCCGTCGGTTGTCTTGCAAAGCTTACAGACTGCGTCGTACCGAAGTGTTGGTGCTCCTATTCCCTCCACCATGTCGAGACGTGTCGCGCTGCTGAACTTGATTTCAGGATGCCATATTGCACAATACACATGCACCCAGTTGTTGTCAGCGGTGCGCTTGAGCGGTTCACGGGGTACAAGCGGTCGACCCTTCTCTTGTTGCCGAAGGCGATACTCGTCCTTGGCTTTGTCAATAAGCTCCTTCTCTAGGCGCTCCCTTTCGCGATCACGATCCGTCCTCTTCTTGTGCGTAATCTTCGGTTGTTCATAGAACTCTTGCTCGCTCTCCTGCTGTGGGCAGAGAACGCACTCGTACGTCTTTTAATGGTCAGCATGGTATCCGAAATGGCGAAACTGCAACTTACATATGACACGCTCTCTTTCTTGTCGTTCTTGCATGGATCGCAATACCACTTGTTTGCCTGTCGCGTATCTTCGACACCGTAACAAGGTTTGTGAACAGTCAACCGACAGGCTGCGCATTCTAGACGCGTACCTTCCGACGACCGACATACAGCGCAGGGCAAAGGCTTCAGTTTTGGAGGCGCAGGAACTGGTGGTGGAGTTGGGGCTTTGGGCGCCGGGGCAGCCTTCTCTTTTTCTTTCTTCTTCAAGACAGGCTCGTTGACAGGAGTTGTTGTTCCACTGTCTCCGTTGGTAATGGCGGCAGTTTTCTGCTTCTTCTTCGGTGGCTCTGCAATCGGTTGGGCGATAGCAGCCGGCATCTCGACGTACTCCGGAGTGGGGTTCTTGGAGCTGGGGTCCGACTGCGCGGCGTAGACCTCACGCAGGAGCTCCTCGTCAATGCGACGCTTCCACGCCTTACCTCCACCCTGCGCGACCTTCTTTGCGATCTCGTCTACATTTTCCCAAGTCACTGCATACTTGCGCCATAAATTCGCGCAGCGCAGGCAGAGGGCGATGAGGAATCCGGTTTTGTCCTTGGAACGACCATCGGGGGGTATCATCTGACCAGGTGTCACGCCAGGCGCGCGTCTCCATTGGCGAGAGTGGCGAACTGTGCAGAACTTGCACTGGAAAAGCCGCTTGCGCTGAATGGCCTTTGCGCTGTCGAAAGCCGAGTCGTCTGCGGCATCCGCTACGTCGTCAACAAGCCGGGATTGTGCGTCAGGCTCAACCTTCTTGCTGCGGCCCTTGCGGCTGCTGTAAGAGCCCCAGATCTCTCTTCCTTTGGGTGTCTTCTTCCACATGTAGTAATAGCGCACGGCATCCCCGTAGAACATGGTCTTGCTGGTGTGCTGGCGAACGAGCCTGATCTCAGAACCATATTTTGCCACACCTTCGTTCCACTTCTTCTCTTCTTCCTTGGTCAGCTCTGGTTCTTTCAACTCTTTCCGCTTGTCGATCTTCTTGACATGCTTCAAGGCTACATCCGCGTCGTACTGATATTTGGTGAAGAGCGTCAAGCACCGATCCAAGAAGTTCGTGTTGTACGGTTCCACTCCAACATGCGACTTGGCCAAGGCCCTTGCCCGATCCATGTAGGCTTTTACTTGATCTTCTGTGACGTTGGGAGCGTTGTCTTCTCCTCGAGTGGAGTGTACTCCTAGTGGAGGCATCTTGAACATCAATTCCGCGGTACACTTGGAGTCCTTGTTCGGCAGATCTTCACCACGACGAACATAACCAGGCGGCTCGTCCATTACCCACTTGGGGCGCTTAGCCTTCTCCGCCTTGTCTGCTTCAATCGCCGCTACCGTCTCTTTCGATAGCTTGCCCTCCTTCTTGTTACCCGCAGCCTTGACGTAGCGTTTCTTAATCTCCGCAGGTTTGACAAGTTCCACAGGGTGTCCATGCCAGACATTGACGTTTGCTTGGTGTCGAGGTCCCAGGCGAGAACTTGCGCGAGGGTAAATGGCCCGATCGTCGTACTGCAGTGCGTCCTCTACCCGGCAGTGTATTCCAAGATATCGCATAGGCCACATCTTAGCCAAAGCAATCTCGGCCTGTGTTGCAGGATGTGTGTCGACTTGGGAATCGGGGTCCGGTGTGTCTGCATTGGTATCGCCGCTTGCTTCCTCCTCTTCCTCATCTATAACTTCTTCCTCTTCGGCATCTTCGTGAGTGGTACCCAGGCGGGCCTCCAACTTCTTCTCTTGCGCTCTGCTACATGGGCCACAAGCCCAAGCAAATCCACGAGATGGTTTTTTGAGTAATGGTGGGCGCACGCAGTTCATGTGATAGGTGTTGTGACACACTGCGCACTCAACGGAGTCATTCCTAATCAGGTTAGCTCCGTCACGTTGATGGGTAAATGGAGACTTACGCTGCGCAATATCCAACACAACGCTTGCAGCTCTTGACAGCGCTTGTGAGTTCCTTTACTCGACTCGTCTCGAGACAGATGTACTTCCACCGCTCGTCCAGGGCTTTCTTGACCTTGTCGGGTACGTTGATAACCGATGAGACGGGAATGACATCGTACCAGCGATGAATGAAGCGGTCAAAAACTTGGTTGAACCAGAAGCTGTCTTTGGTTTTGCGATACTCGTCAAGATCGCCGATCTCGCTCCGATGCAAGATTTGGCATTTTCCCCGTAAAGACGCCAGAGGGCATAGATCAGAGTGCATGGTCGCGTAGACCAGACGAGTGTCATTGTTGTAGCGCTGGACATCTCGTGGGCGATAGAACCAATTGACTCGCATGGACTCTATCCGCTTCTTGGGGTCGTTGTCGACGTGGATAAATTCCATAACCCGGCAGAGGTAGTAAGGCTCGCCGGGCGGCTCGCACACGAGGTACACCTGATCTGCACATCCAATTAGAAAACGGAAATCAAGCCGCAAGACGTGGCTGGCGTAACGGAGCGACCGTCAGCTGCAGCCAAAGCAAATCAAAACTTACCGTTGACTGAAAGAATTTGGCCATCGTCGGCTTCCAAGTGACCGTCTTTGAGGAAAGCACCCGTGTTTTCGAACGTCATCATGTTGGTCTCTCGCGCGCTGTTGGCGGCTACCATGGCGCTGGCATGGCTTCCGCGCTTCGCCCCTGCTTGGCTTGGCGCAGCGGCACTCGCGTGACTACCATTTGCGCCGTTCGCAGCAGCATTTTTGCGTCGTTTGGTTGCGGGCTGCGGTTGTGGTGTGCTTGATTGAGTCGATGCAGCTGTTGCTGATGTGCCGGAAATATGAGGATTCGGCGCGGTCTCTTTAGTGTTGGTTCCGGAATTACCCCACGATGCATTGCCTTGTGCAGAGGCGGAACCTTTCTTCCCACCCACATTGGCAGAGTGGCCGTTCTCGGGAGCCACAGAATTACGCGACGGCGGATCAGATGCGTTGCCATTTGTGGCTGCAGCTCCCATTTCGAAGTCCATTTCGGTGTCCTCAGCATAATTAGGTCGCGACCTGCCAGGACGGCCGCGCGATCGCGTACCGTATGACGATAGCGCCTCACCGTTTTGATCTGGCTCCTTTGACGATGCTTTGGACTGATTTGAAGCGACGTTGGCCGCCTCGGGCGATGGTTGCACGTCGTCCATGGCAGAAGACGCGTCGTTGGGGTTTTGTGCAGGCTCCCGTACTTCCAAAGAAGCAGCAGGTGTCGAATTTCTGGTAGAAGCCTTGCTAGTTGATTTTGAAGGCGCTACTTCTAATGCAGCGCTGGGTTGATGCTGTTGATTGCTTTGCGCGTCATCTTCGTTGCGCGGTGATGGTGCATTGGACTGGTCCCCAGCCGTCGAAGACGGAGCCTCGCCTTCGCCGTTCTTCGTGTCCGCCATGCCGATTACTGCAGAAGAAGGCAGAATCAATGAAAAGGCCGAGGCAAAGGACGGCGAAGAACCCTTTCAAGGCAGGCGCGGGCTGTCGCCAGGGTTGTCGCTAGAAAGAAGCCCGTCAAGTGCGGATATCAACGCAGCATGAGAAGGCCCATCAGCGCATACACGCGAACTTGTGAAGTAGCAAGTCAAAGGTGAGTATTTTCGGGGTTCAAGACGGCTGGCTTGATGGGGCCGATGGCGAAACCGGGAGATGTTTCGTGGTTAGACGAAAGAAAGCGTGGTGTGGGGAAGAATTAGTGAAGAAGGGAGCAGTGGTTGAAGGAATTCGAAGATGGCGGACTCGCTGTAGTATGGGTCTAACGGTGCCAAGCTAGGCCCAAGGCTACGTCCGTGGGACCTAGGTTCTTTCTTACGCATATCTCATCTTTCTCATCGGTGCTGCTAACCACTGCACCCTGACAGCAGCGCCCGCGCCTGCCCACGCCGTACAGGTGCGTCGTTCGGCAAACGATGGGGGCGCTGATGGGTCCTTTGTCACGATATGTTCTTTTGATGGGTTTTGCACGTTCATGTTCACACGGCTTCATCCTTCAACGATCTCCACCACCCCTGTCTGACATACACCGGCAACGCACCCATCATGCGGCGACTATCTCTGTAATGTGCAGTTGCTCCGTCAGTCTCAGTCATGTCCACATGTATAGGCCAGCGGACAGGCTGCGTCGTTCGAGTCACTACTCGGTTTCATCATATTGAGGCATTATATCCATCACATCTCATCGATTGCGTGCGCCTCGACATTTCGCCAGGCCTACTGATCTGGTATCGGGTGCTGTGATGATGGCGTGGGCGCGGCGACGAAGGTTGGAAGGAGGCGATGTATGGTACAGTCCATCGTCTAACTCGATTTAGCGCCGACAAGGGTCGACTGGTCTTAACGAGACCTCGTCGTTTGGCAGAGATCCGTGGATGGAAAGGCTTGATGCCGAATCTTCCACAGCACACATTGCGTCACCCAAGCTGGCAGAGTCAGGACATGCGCCTCATTGCCCGCGCATGTGTCCGGAAACGCAGAGCGCCTGGATCGTTTATTGTTATTCCTTTCTGCGGCCCTGCCACACTAGGCCCAGTCGCGTCTGACTCTCTTACACATCCACCTGTTCCGGCCAAATCAGCCTGGTTCAGACGGCCCGATCGTCTCCATCGTCGACTTCCATCTGGTGGTGAAGCTCCAGCGCCGCCCATGGTCGTGTCGCACATGTGCCTGCAACCCGTGCGGTTCGCGGCATTGCTAGGTCCGCAGACAAGGGACGCTAGCAGACGCATTCAGTCATATCGTGTCGGCTGCCTTGTTGCCCCCCTTCGAAACACCCAGACACCCAGCCGCACCCTAGCAACCCTCGTCGGCCTCAGATTGCCCGCTTCTCATTCGCTGTTACCGGCATTCGCTAACGTGATCGTTGGCGCACATCAGCTCGCGCACTTGCAGCAACAATGTGGCCCACGCACCGTCTCATGGGCTTTGATGGGATTTTCGCAGAAGACGACACCGATGTCAAAACACGGCTTGTCAAAGCAGACGTCTCGTTGACAGTGACTTGCGTGTGCGACCCGGCGCACTCCCCAGGCTTGCAACCGACCCTAACCAAAGTGGCCTATCCGGTTCTGCGCGGAACGCGCCAGTCCCTCCTTCGCTGGGCCTCACTCGAACTTGGGAGCCGTTTCGAACGTGTTGGTGACTAAACTCCGCCAAGTGACCGAGGACTCAGCTTGCGATATCTCACAACACTCTTGCGCCAAGACAGACGTGGAGTGATTGTCGAAATGCGCCTTGCAGATCAACCTGTCTATGGGCAGCAGAGGCGGGGCCGGATTCGACACTGCTCTGGTCCTACAGGCAGGTCGCGGCTTAAAGACCTCATTGACTTGATCTCTGAAGTTGCGACAAAACTATCTTGTGCCCACGCCTTCCCGTGTTAACGAATAGGCGATAACAGCGGAGAGTCTTCTTCGTCATCGCTCGCGCTCGCATATCGATGCAGAGTCCTGTAGTCACAAGACCTTGAGTGATCTCAGAGCTCCACAGCGTTATCTTATAATTGCGTTATCGGGGCTTTTCACGATCGCCTTCACCACCAGCACTCAGTGGTGCACATCATTTTCCGTCAAGGACCTGCCCGCTCACAACATATCGCTTCCAACCCCTCCTCCACCGCGTCTGGTTTACAGAGACGTTTCATGCCTCAGCAAAGTACCTCGTGAGAGTTTTGAACCCAGCATGGTTCAGCATGGCGGTTGGGGATGTGTTAGCATTGTCTCATCTTGAAGGGGCGGTCTTTAAGTTCTTTTTGCTATCAACTGGATTCAAAGCCTCGCGATTCCGTCCCGCCATGAGAACTACGAGAACTACGTTGTCTGGTACACGGCGATAGACAGGCTCGGGCAAGTCGGTACACGCATTGCGAGTTGCGCGGTCATGTACACTGCAGAAGGGCACTGGCCGCAATCAACCGGTGGCTGAAAGATGTTCAAGGCACATTCAACACTCAAAACGCTATTCGTGAAATGCGCTGAATCACCAGGACGTCACTTTGCGACAGTAGAGCGCCGCAAGGTGGTTATCGGCGACGCCTACCTAGACTCGCCCTCTAGTTTGGTGCATGCGGGAACGACAGGCGCTTGCAGATCGGTCGAAGAGCCATAACCGTGCCGGAACCTATCTGTTTTCTGTCCATCAACGGCGCGCAAAGCCCCTTTTCATGCCCATTGATCGAGCAAGGTTTTCAGCGACAACAATCAAACTTTCGGTCCGAGGGCAGATATAACCACTTACACAGCCGTGTCCGCACCGTGATGCTTGCCAATACTGCCTCAACCATGGGGAGCTGGGAATGTGCTGGCACCGTTCGTGATCGCAACAAACAACGCTCGGCTCCAGTACCGATAAACTGCCTCTTTTTGCGAAAGGCGCAGAGATCGCCATTTCCTGTTCCGGCTGGATATGTTCACGATGGATTACCCTGATTTCTTCAAGGTGTGCGGGCACTTGTCATGGTCGGGGTGGGGCCTTGATGACATCTGCCTGCCGAGGTCAAGCCGCTGACCTGCATGGAAAACGCACGAGCCAGCGCCAACATTAGCTGCGCTAGCATCCCCAGTGCGGATCCCCCTCCTCAGCGACTGCAACTCGGAACGATAGCTCACGCATTTCAGAATACCCATGCGACAGTAGGTCATGTACATTCCTTAGAACGGCAGTATGATTGAATTGTTCTGCACGTTGTCTGCATCTTGCCGCCAAACAGATCGTATCACCATAGGCTGCTGTCTTTCGTGCACGAGAAGTTCAACATCCAACTATGATATAGCCATTTTCCGTTTGTCTTTTCCCTCACCAACTCCCACCTCATTTCCCACCAAACGATCAACTCCTAGCAAGTTCCAAATTGTAGATGAAGAAGTTTACAAGGCGAAGATGGCCAAAAGACCGGCGAGACCGGCACCAGCGATACGAGCTGAAGCCTTGTCGGCGGCACCAGTGGAGGCGGCACCAGCTCCGGAGCCAGATTCGGTTCCAGAGGCAGAGGCAGAGTCTCCTGGGTTATCGTTAGTACAAGAATGAGCAGAATCTACTGCCGATGACAATCATACCTGAGGTAGCCGTAGGGTTGGCAGAGCCGGTAGCAGAGGCAGAGGCACCTGCAGCAGCAGAACCAGAAGCAGAGCCGGAAGCAACAGCGCCACCAGCAGCGCCAGGGGCGAAAGCGGTTTGGCTGCTGGGGAAAAGGCTGTTGATGCAACTGTCGACGCACTTGGCGTAGGCAATGGAGTCGGAGGTAGAGCCATCGCCCTGGTCGCACTTGGCAGCACATTCGTTGGTTGCGATAGCCTGGGAGGCGTTGGGGCGAGCGTTGCCCAAGCACGCAGCCTGGCAGTTCACATCGCCGGCGTCGCAGTCCATGGCACAGCTGATAGCGGGAGAGAGACCGCTAGGAATGGCGGCAGCCGCTGGGGCGCTGGTAACAGACGCATCCTGGGGAAGGGCGAAGGCGCCAATGGCGAAGAGGAGAACAGCGGAGTACTTCATCTTGAATTTGGTTTGGGTTTGGGTATTACTCGAAGGTTGCAAATAGCGGTTCGATTGTGAGGATTAATACAAGTATGCTGAAGATGCGGTAAGCGAGCGTGGGAAGTACGAGTACTTGAAGGCTGAATCAGAATAAAGAACGAACGTTGGCGCACACACTGAGAATCCGGGGCAGGCCATCTCGCTTTTTATTGCACTGTTACACTACTAGTCAGTACATAGGGGTTTGGCGAGTAGTGGCTCCGTTGTGCTTATATTGGGTTTCGACTATGCCTCGTGTGGTAAGCCTTGTCGGGCCGGCGGCGTCATATCGAGGCACGTCGGCTGGAACCTTACCAGTGGTAGCCTGGACTCCAGGGCTGCAGGGGTCCACCACACCTGCCCCATCCATCTGCGCCAAAACGCGCTAGAAAACGACGCGTCGCGACATTTACCTCACCACGCCACTAATAAAGTGCCGCCGCCTCTCATACACCAGCGCAATGGACGACAGTGATGAGTATGGCGATGAATTTGACGACACAGAGTTTCTCGATGCCGCAACGCAGGCCGAGAAAGAGAACACGCCTGCCTTCCCGCCCTCACCAAGGCCAGCCAAGCGGCGAAAGATCAGCAACGTAAATGAGCAAGCGGAGTCTGTTCCGCGCAAGGCACAACGAGGACGTCGCCGAGGCCCATTCGTATTGTCTGATGAGGATGAAGACGCATTTGATGAATCCGATCAGACGTTGTCTGAGAAAGGCAGCAAGAGTGTCTCACCTGCAAAGAGCGTGCCTGCGAGTCGCAAGAAGAGAGCGCAGTCGAAGCAAAGCTATGATGAAGATGCATCGCCCGTCAAAGAGACTGCTGCGGATAAACGGAAAGAACGCATTCACGTATCCACCATCAACCTCGAGATGCCAGACACGTTCTATACACAGCCACCTCCAACAGACTCCCCACCATGGAAGCCGCGAGGAGCAATATGGACGAAGCCTGCTACCACGATTGGCGTTCATAAGCCATCAGCACCTGCGAAACAGAATGGGTTGGACGCTACGAGGAATGTGTCTTTGTCGGGTAGACAGTCAACATCATCTAGGCGCGCACCGCAAGCGCCACCTTCGCCAGTTCCTTCAGACTCATTCGGGGATGTCGACATCGACATTGACGAGTCACCAAGATTACCAGTTCGGGCTGCGACGGCAACGGCAACAGGTGCCTATGACTTCACCCAAGACCTAGCAGATCTCCCATCTGACGCCTTTGCCTCCTCATGTTCCTCGCCACAGAAGCAGGACGATGTACAAGTTACGTCAGCCAGAAAGCGTGTGGTCGCACCTCTCACTGGCCTACGGCAAACTACCTTGTTCGGTCGTGCGGGTGTTGATAGTACAATTGCCCCATCCCAAGTAAACAAGCGTTACAATTTTGTCGTCGACCAGAAGGCAGAGCCACCCACTCACCACAAGCTGGATCCAGAAGCAATCAAGACTTGGGTGTATCCAACAAACCTGGGCACTATCAGAGACTACCAATTCAACATCGTCCAGAGAGGTCTCTTTCACAACCTGCTCGTCGCTCTTCCGACTGGTCTTGGTAAAACATTCATTGCAGCTACGATCATACTGAACTGGTTTCGATGGACGACGGAAGCACAGATAGTTTTTGTCGCTCCAACCAAGCCGCTCGTGGCACAGCAGGTAGAAGCCTGCTTCCATATCGCAGGTATTCCGCGCTCGTACACCACAATGCTTACCGGAGGCGTGTCGACAGGCTTACGCGCAGAAGAGTGGAAAGAGAAAAGAGTCTTCTTCATGACGCCTCAGACACTCCTAAACGACTTGAAGTCTGGATACGCAGATCCCAAGAAGATTGTACTGTTGGTTGTTGATGAAGCTCATCGTGCGACCGGCGCTTATGCTTATGTCGAGGTCGTCAGCTTCCTCCGCCGATTTAATACGAGTTTCCGAGTACTGGCCTTAACGGCTACACCTGGTGCTGATGTTGAGTCGGTTCAGAAAGTCATCGACGGTCTGGATATTTCCAAAGTAGAGATTCGAACGGAGAACTCTATGGATATCTGCAGCTATGTTCATCAGCGCAAGATCGACAAGAAAGTCTTCCAAAATACAGACGAGATGGAGATGTGTATGGAGCTATACAGCCAAGCACTACAACCCTTGGTGAACACAATAGCCGGTCTCAACGCTTATTGGAGCAAGAACCCCCGCGACTTGACGCCTTTCGGGTGCCAACAAGCCAAGAAGAAGTGGTTCCAAGAGGTCGGTCGAAACGCCAACCGTGGCCTTCAAAGCACGGTTCACACCATCTTTGCTATCCTCGCATCTATCTCCCACGGAATGGACCTACTGAAGTACCATGGCATGGGACCCTTCTACATCAAAATGAAGGAGTTTCAGGATGAAGCTGCCAAAACAAAGTCCAAGTACAAGAAGCAGATCCTCGATAGTGACGCTTGGAAGAAACTGATGGTGCGTCTCCATGGGTGGATCAACGACGACAACTTTGTTGGGCATCCAAAGTTGGAGTATCTGCAGCAGGTTATTCTGGATCACTTTGTTAACGCAGGTGATGGCCGAAACGTCGATGGCGCGCCTCCTTCGCAGACGAGAATCATGGTATTCGCCCACTTTCGTGACAGCGCCGAAGAGATCGCGCGCATCCTGAAAAGACACCAGCCGATGATCCGCCCACGCATCTTCGTCGGACAAGCGCACGGCAAGAATTCGGAAGGCATGTCGCAGAAGGACCAGTTGGAGGCTATCGAGAAATTCAAGAATGGCGAATTCAACACGTTGATTGCCACCTCGATTGGTGAAGAAGGTCTCGACATTGGCGAGGTCGATCTCATCATCTGTTACGATTCGAAAGCATCGCCGATTCGCATGTTGCAGCGCATGGGCCGTACAGGTCGAAAACGCCAGGGACGAATTGTGATGCTTCAAATGGAAGGCAAGGAAGAAAATGACGCGAACAAGGCAAACGACAGCTACCTCAAGATGCAAGAGCTTATTGCAGATGGAGGGCACTTCAATTTCCACGACGACGTATCTCGCAGGATTCTACCACCAGATGTCAAGCCAGTCGTTGACCGACGCGCGGTAGAAATCCCCGCCGAAAACTCTCAGAAAGACTGGCTCCCAGAGCCGAAAAAGGGAAGGCGGACAAAGAAGCCTCCCAAGAAATTCCACATGCCAGACGATGTCATCACTGGCTTCGTCACTGCAGGCCGTATGGGCGAGGAGATTGTACCAAAGGGTCGAGGGAAGAAAGCCGCTATGCCAGTATATCCCAGCGAGACAGCCTTTGAGATGCCACCACTCGAGCCGGTCCTCTTGGACGACTCAGCGATGCAGGATCTCGAGAGGCGATACCAGACAGTCTTCGACGATGATGACGCTCCTATGGTTGGGGGATTGGACCTGAGCAAATTTCCCGAGCGACAGCGCACCCTGCCTTACCAAACCCGACGAGTCGGGCCAGGTCGTGTCACACGTGCTTTTGCCGGTACAATGCAGCGCATGCACGATATGGACACTGACCGCCTGGAGAAGTTCCAGCGCGATCTGCACTATTCTGATTGCGAATCAGATGCAGACGATGGTTTCGTTGTGTCACATACAGAGGTTGCGCCAGTCATCGCAGAAGACATGTGGGAAGACGATGAACCCGCTTCACCGGTCCTTCCGACGACCAAAGCAAAAGCAAAGCCTGGCCCGAAACCCAAAGCAAAGGCACCGGCGAAACCCAAGGAGAAGGCGCCACCAAAAGAGAAAGCGGCACCGAAACCAAAAGGAAAGCCAGTGCCGAAATCCAAAGAGATGGCGCCTCCGAAGACCCCTAAAACACCAGCACCTCGTGGTCGAGCGCGGAAAGACAAACTAGCTGTGGAAACGCCGACTTACGACACCGACGCATTGGATGAAACACCGATAACAAAAACACCTAACTGGCGCGTGTCCAACCTCGCTATGGAAGGCAATGAGTCGTCTCCACCACCGACAGATCCCCGTTTCCGCCTACCATCCCAAGCCGACACAATTGGCTCGGACGACACGTTGGGTGCGGATGAACCGGAGGACCCTCTTGCATGGCAGAATGACTCGGAGCTGGCTAGCTTCATCATTGAAGGGGAGGAGGAAGAGGTAGTGCCTACATCCAGCTTACCCAGTATTGATATCTTTGGTGTTGGGGCGGGGACGCAAGCAGTCGTCAAAGCTGCCACCAAACCAAAGCGGACACCCAGACGCGAGAAGCTCTTTACCAGCGACATCACGGACGACGATGCAGTTGTCAGCAGTGATAGTGACGATGATGCACCGCTCGTCAAGAAGGGTGCGAGCAGGAAGGACGCTGTCGTTCTTGATTCTGATTCAGAAGTGGAGGAAGACGCGCCTGTCGTTCAAAGGAAAAGAGGCAGACGGATTATAGACGACGACTCGGATGAGTAATAGATGAGGCATCGAATCGATCTTACGACCGTATATATTTAGATAATACAATGCATGTTCATTCAAACTGTTTCCAATACTCTGGCTCGAAGCCGTCCATTTGTTGAGTGTACGGTTCTCCAGCCTTCACCCAACCCTTGATGCCACCACCAAGTGTCAAAGATGTGATCTGATCATCGCCCTTGTCCGCAATATAGTCTGCAAACCAGCCAGAACACCTGGGGCCTCTTCCATTCGATGCGCCTACGATGTGTCAGCGTGCTAGTAGGATCTTCTTGTTCGTGTTCCCAAATGACGATACCATGTGGCACGCATCTCACGCCACCAACACACGATCATCTCCTTCATGTCGCATCAAGAACGTCATTTTCATGAGGTGAAGAACTAACCACAATAGAACGCAACGCGTTTGACTCCCGCCCTTTTGCATAAGTCGTACAATACCCCGCGGTTCATGTAGAAAGAGTGGGCGGGAAGGTTTAGGCTACCTCTAATAGTTCCGCCCTCATAATCGGTGCGTCGCACATCGACAATGAGCAAGCCTGG